TTAAAAAATACCTGAATTTTTCTCTTAATTTACCATAATGCCAAATCCACAGTTTTGAGTGTTCGCACTATTTTTTAAGCATAATACATCTTCTTACACTATTTAATGCCCCCCCATTGGCACAGCGGCATGTCTGCGGACTAACAACGCTAGAAACAGGGTTTCGATACTCGTGGTGGGCAGAGCACAGATAGCCCATTGTGTAGCTTTGTGCTTAACTTCAAACAAACTAACAAACTGGGCCCCCAGTGGCACAGCGGCATGTCTGCTGACTTACAACGCTAGAAACAGGGTTTCAATACCCGTGGTGGGCAGAGCACAGATAACCCATTGTGTAGCGTTGTGCTTAACTTCAAACAAACTAACAAACTGGACCCCACAGTGGCAGAGCGGTATGTCTGCGACTTACAACGCTAGAAACCGGGTTTCGATACCCGTGGTGGGCAGAGCACAGATAACCCATTGTGTAGCGTTGTGCTTAACTTCAAACAAACCAAACTACTTAATGGCATATCCAAATAGCTAAGCAATATAATTTTGAGGAGGGCTTGAAATACGAGGAATATATGAGATGAATTTGGAGTAGTCAAGAAGCGTTTTCCAATATATGGGTTTGTTTTATTCTTTTTAAATGTTCTATGATGCATAAAATGAATTTCATTTCATTTGGAGTCACAAACTTCAAACTGAATGACCACTTTATTATCACGCTTTTCTTGTTGTTGTTTTTTTTTGTTGTTGTTTGTTTGTTCCTATGTATTTATGATCATAAATAGCATAAAATAAATCTACGTATTAACATTGTTTATGATAAAAAAAAAAACTTCAAAAGACTTTGTAATTATTATTATCCCTAAGAATAAAATTAAACAATTGGTTAATACAAAAATATATAAATAAATTTTAAAAAAGCAGACCAAGACAAAAGTGCCACAACAAGTGGTCATTCATAGTGACCTTTATGGTTCCACAAATGTTTACAAGTCACTGCCAAAGATGCCTTTCGTATCAGAACTTATGGTTTCTTGCTATAAGATTTACCTTTCGCATAGGAAGCCACAAGAAACGAAAGAACTTTTAAATTTTGTAAATACAGTACGATTTTGAAACATGGCTAATAACATCAAGTAAATACTGATAGTACCGCTGAATTATAACTAATGAACAAATGTAATGCAGAAACTATAAGTTTTTATTATGAATCCTGATTATTTGTTTTTAAGCACAAGACTACACAATCGTCTATCTGTGCTGTGATCACTGCGGATATCAAAACCCGATTTTTAGCGTTATAAGCCCTCGGGGCCTACCGCTGAGCCACCTGGAGGGGAGTAGGGTGAACCCTGAAGATTATATTTTCTTCATTTCCAAATATATAAAAGTAAATTGAATATATAATTCCGAATTATGCATTTAAGCTCCGACGGGTTGGTTAGAAATAATCTTTAGTATAAACTGTGAGCTCCAGATGTATAAAATTACCTTTCAGCTGGAAGGCACCTAGTCAACAACTCCCACAGCCAGTTGTTATAGGAACTGTCATCTAGTCAACAGGCCAGGCATGGCCAGGTGGTTAGGGCGCTCGACTCGCAATCTGAGGGTCGCGGGTTCGAATCCCCGTCCCGCCAAACATGCTCGCCTTTTCAGCCGTGGGGGCGTTATAATCAATCCCACTATTCGTTTGTAAAAAGACTAGCCCAAGTGTAGGCGGTGGGTGGTGATGACTAGCTGCCTTCCATCTAGTCTTACACTGCTAAATTAGGGACGGCTAGCGCAGATAGCCCTCATGTAGCTTTGCGTGAAATCTATAACAAACCAAACCAAATCTAGTCAACAACTCCCTCAGCCAGCTGTTATAGGAACTGTCTGACTGAATAATGGAATTTGACTTTCATTCTTATAGCGCACCCAAGGGCCCTAAATGCGCAATGCGTTTTTGGAGGCAACAGAACGCTAACTACAAACCCTCCGTCTCACAGTTTTGGTACACCAACCACTGGGTCACGTTCAGTGCACTTGGAACCTATTACTCTCCTGACTTTCGTGCCTACCGTAGTAGAACATGTGTGGAAATTTGGGATTTAATGCCCTGTACATCTAGCTCGACTCTTACATTCACCCCTTTGCTGTAAACTAGTGTTAATAAACATCCTAATGCCTCCAAGATTTATTCTGACGCTCAGCCAAGCTAAGCCAATAATAACGATTTACACTTAAAGAAAGTTTATTAAGTGTTTAAGTATGAGAGTTTGTGTTGTGTATGTTTTGTTTATACACACACTTTATATTCTTTCTGGGTGTAAGAGGTTTGTAGCCAACCAGCTAGATGCAAGTCTTCCAATGTGTTATTCGAAACGAAGGATATTTTAAGTGTTAGGATGCTTCACTTACTCGTCTAAGTGATATTGTGAATTGCTTTTGCAATGTTATAGACACTCACGTACACACATGTGTTTATATGTGTATGCTATAAGATAAGAATACTTACTCAAAATAGTTATATTTTTATATAAATGAAAAATTATCAAGGTTGTATGTTATGCTATCTTTGACGAGTTGATGATTTTCTTGTTATTAACTGCCACAAACAAATACTGAAAATGTTCAACTGTGTTTCTGTTTATGCTAAACCTAAAATTTTATAACTAAGGAGAAGAAATGGCAATAATGAAAAAACAGTTACTTGTGGTGCTCAAAAAACCTGTTACCAAGAGGTTACGTTTTTCCAAATCTAGATTCGTTTATATTTTGACACGAATATGTAAAAGTTTGGTTTGAATTTCGCGCAAAGCTATAAGAGGGCTATTTGCGCTAGCCGTCCCTAATTTAGCAGTGAAACACTAGAGGGAAAGCAGTTAGACATCACCATCCACCGCCAACTCTTGGACTACTTTGTTTACCAACGGATAGTGGGATTGACCGTCACATTATAAAGCTTCCACGGCTGAAAGGATGAGCATATTTGGTGGGACGGGCATTCGAACCCGCGACCCGCAGATTGGGAGTCGAGCACCCTAACCACTTGGTTATACCAGGCTGTATGTAAAAAGATAAAATACTTAGATCTCGTCTCGTTCAAATTGAAGAACGTTTTTATTGCGTGTATGTGTGTGTTTTTGTTTCTTCTCTAAATTCTTAGTTTCTTGTGGTTTACTCAGCTGCAAATACTTCATGTTACTCTCTGTTTTCATGAATACTTTTAATTTAGTATATGTTTACGTTATTTTTACGGCCACTTATATCACACTGAGTTAATGTTCTTGCTGTTTGGAGTTTTTTCATTCACGTTGATATTTAATCTTACACTAATGCAGGTGAACACGGTGTCATTTTTATAATGAAACTAAGAAGAATGTAAGCATGCCTATAACACTGACGTGTTTATCGTTTGGTGCGGCGCGGTGTGCTGCGCAAATGGAGAATAGCGTTGAAACCAAACAGACACCAATGGTAACATGTTTGTTTTTCTGATATTGAATCAAGACTTTTTCTAATGAGACAATGAACAAACCTAAACAGTTATCATATATATTAGGGAAACTTCTGCATGAAAATAATTAATTATGGTTATTAACATCTAGTTAATTACTTTCATGACTTCTATCCATATTTTTACAACGCTAGAAACCTGGTTTCGATACCCGTGGTGGGCAGAGCACGGAGAGCCCATTGTCTTTTGTTTGTTTGTTTGAAGTTAAGCACAAAACTACACAAAGGGCTATCTGTGTTCTTCCCACCACGAGTATCGAAACCCGGTTTCTAGCGTTGTAAGTCCACAGACATGCCGCTATGCCACTGGGAGGCTCCATTGTCTTTAAATGTTAGATATGAATAAAAAAGGTTTGGTGGAAACATTGTTAAAGTTATAAATATGCTATTCATTTCAATCTAAGATGTGATAACCCTGGATCAGATGTAAAGCGTTCGTTCGTTCGTTTTGAATTTCTCGTCAAGTTACACGAGGACTATCTGCGCTAGCCGCCCATAATTCAGCAGTGATAGACTAGAGGAAGGCAGCTAGTCAACACCACCCACCGCCAACTTTTGAGCTATTCTTTTACCAACGAATAGTGGGATTGATTGTCACAGTATAACGCCCCCAGGGCTGAAAGGGCGAGTATGTTTGGTGGGACGGGGATTCGAACCAGACTGCAAGTCGAGCGCCCTAATCACCAGGTCATGCCAGGCCCTATGTAAAGCGATAAGAAGTGTTATGGGTTTGAACAAAAAGCTTCTCGTAGTAACTAGCAGTTTATAATTAATATTATTTATAACTTAATATTCCTAGTTTTAGCATTTCCTTGTATAAGAACATTTGATAGTTGTTTTTTACAAGGTTTCCAAATCACGTAGTAAAATACTCATCTAATATTACTCTTATACTATCTTTTTTTAGACATTTCGCGACATTTCTTTAAAATTAGTTGTCGTGTGTTGTGTTGAGCTCCCAATAAAGAGATATTTAACGAAAGCAGAGAATCTTACGAGATGTTCGCCTCTATTATTTACTTCGAAAATTATACTTCAAGCAATAAACTGGAACAGTTTTATTTCTAACCAACAAAAAACTACAGTAATTATATTTTACAATTTAGAGATTTTGATTATGTCTCTTAACGAAAGGTAAGGTATTTCCAAACAAAGCTGGCGAAAGGGGGAGGGGGTTGCCCCGGGGCCTGTTGAGGGGCCCGGCAGTGGGATATTCCAAAACTCACTAGAAATGCATACTCCTAAATGAGTTGAAATGGTTACTGCTTTTTCATGGATTCATGAAGACAAATGTCACCTAAATTTTTTTAAATGAAAAGTCAACAAAAGTTAATAAAGAGAATGAAAGGGTGGGCAATGATATTACTGACTCCGGGTCCTTGGCTGGCTCTCGACGCCCGTGTCTCCAAAATACATCTCTAGTGTTAACTGTTATTTGTTTACATTCTCAGTAAAAAAAAAAATGTTTCTTTTTCACTGACCTTTTTGTTTTCCTAATCTGTCTTTTACAGACGTTTGTAGTCATCAGTAAAGGTAAAGATATCTTCCGGTTCAGTAGTACCAACGCCCTGTGGATTCTAAGTCCTTTCAATCCCATCCGTCGTGTTGCCATCTATGTGCTCGTCCATCCTCTTTTTAGCTTTATGGTCATTGTCACCATCCTCGTTAACTGTGTTCTCATGACCCTGCCCTCTAACGAAAAAATAGAGCAGTCCGAGTAAGTAACATTATTATTATTTCTTTGCAATAGTTTCTAATTACTTAAAATAGCTTTAATTTATAACGTGCTTTGTCAATACTTTCTCATTGTCTGTATTTTGATTTATCAGTAAAATCAGAAAACCATCATGACTGATATCTGGCCAGGTGATCAGAAGTGTGTATATATGTGTAAAATTAATTAATTTATCCAAACAAAAATGCAACGAAGTCATACTTTTATACATTAGCAATTATTATTTTGCGTATATAATATAAATAATACTTTAAAGGGTTTGAAAAAAATAACAAGGAGATATTTAGAGCTTTGTTCAAAAAATATATCAATATTTTCTGTGTCAACAGTACAAAGCAGTAAGTCTCTTTCCCTAAGAATTACCAGAATGTGTGATCCAACTTAGTCATTTCCGAAAAAATCACTTTCTACAAAGATGGATGTTTTACAGTGCTGTAACTTAAAATATGTAAAATTAAATAACGTTTCCGGTGTACAAAGTAAAACTTAAAACAGACGATAAAGGATTTCCAATGTCTGAACATTATTTTTGATAAGTTATCTTTATTTATAAATGTTGCTTTACCTGAAATAATCAAGAAATATTTCTTCCGATTTACATATTTACATGAGAAAAAAATGTTACTTATATCTATTCTCATAAACAGATATCAAGAGAAAAAAATGAGTTTTGTTTTTTTCTGTCTAGAATCATCTTCACCACAATCTATACCATTGAATCTGTTGTTAAGGTAATTGCTCGTGGTTTTATACTTGAAAGTTTTACATATCTCCGAGATCCCTGGAACTGGTTGGATTTCATCGTGATAACATTAGCGTAAGTGCTCGATTTTAATGTGTTTTTTGTTTATTAACTTGTTTAAGAGAACATCAATACAATTTATACTCATTTCAACTACTTTATAAACTGCGATTCTATTTTAGATGTTTTTATAGTTAACTGTTGTAGTGTAAAACAAACAACAGATATTTATAACAATTATTTGCTTCCCTCCATTTATATATTATTTTATTTTGTATAGATGTAAATTATATTAATATTTATATAATTTCTTTTATTTATTGTTTTGTAGTAGTGAATTGGCAATTTACATGTTTTACTTTATCTCATATCTGCGTATTTGTTCAGCAACTTATTAATAAAATTACTCGAATTTATAAAAGTATTCGAATAAATAATATTCGCAGTCAAAAACATACTCAAAATTGTATAATAAGATATCCTTAGGGAAGGAAAACTGAGGAGTTCCAGAGACACAATTCATCATTCTTTGTTTTTTTAAATACTGCTTATGAATTGTTAGATTTAAATTTATAGAGTATCAAAAAATCAAAATTTTGTATTAATACACGCGAAATATTTGTTCAGTAATAACTCCGAACCTTTTCAAATTATTTATTGAGTCATAGATTGCGAATCTCTTCAAGAGTTTCTGAATTTTAAAGCATATGATTATTGTTCGTTTATAAATTGTTATTTACATTATAGATCCTTTATTTTATCATTTCAGTACAGCATCATTAGCAGCTAATGCGATCTTAGAACTGTTTGACCAAACCAAGGGTATCTTTTTGTCTTAAACTTTTTAGTATTCGGATTTAGAACAAAATTTACAAAGCAGTGGACATTTTTTTCTATCTGATAACCTTTCGTGTTTTAAAAATATTCTCTCATTTATAACAGCACACTCTTTAATCTTTTCACCCAATTAATAATTCAAAATTGCTGTTCAGACATTACAAAATTATACAAAAAATGGTAACATTTTCTGATGCATTATATAGGAACCGAATTCGAGAGATGATTTTATAACTCCATGATCTACAGAGAATTACTTGCTTTATTTTATCTCAGAAATTATATCAAACTAGTTTCCAATATTTCATCCAATCTCAACAGGTATCTGACAATGGGTGTTGAACTAGGAAACCTGAGTGCCCTCAGAACGTTCCGTGTGCTTAGAGCCTTAAAAACAGTAGCTATTATTCCAGGTACTTTACTTTTCATATCTGTTGCTCTAAAACTTACCCTTGAAATTAAATTTGAGTATTCAAAGTCTGAATAAAGAATATCCTAGTTTGTTGTTGTCCGACTTGTTTTTATTTAACATAAAGTTTTGTGTATTTTGGGTTCTGCATTATTTGGAACAGACGCTGCAAAATAAATAAAAATGTGGCCATATTCTACTGAAGAATTAACGTGAGTTCATTCAACACTCAAGAGCTAAATCAGTAGTCAAGGAGGGATGTAGAGGTCCAGGTGTACCTGATCTCCCATTAAACAACAACCAAATGAAACTATCCATAATTTCCACAAGAAGGAATAGGTCCGAAATGAACCCGACCATAGATATAAATACAACTAGATTGGAAGTCACGTGATTTTCGACATGCGCAAGCGGCCGCCAGGGAGAGCAAAGTAGTTTGAAATTGGGAATTGAATTTAAAAAATCATATAAATAAGTTCAATGAATATAAAAATAATTATGTTTTTCATTTTCAGGGGGCAAGTCCCCCCTGCAAACGCCCATGGTTAAATTAATGTGTTGTTTTTGTTTATTGGTTCATGCAAAACAAAATATTTTGAGCCACTTGTACTACATACTGATTATTTAGTATAATAACACTGACAGCTGAAGGAGCCACCTTCAAAAATTTAATCTCTCATGTAATTCTGAGAATGAGTCTTTTGACAGTAATAGGCCTATGTTTTAATTTTTTCCCGGATAAGCCATGACGTCACTGATCAAACTAGACTTGTATTAAGTCATACAAATTAACCCAAATTTCCTCTCTCATTCATTATGCGAAGTGGTATATTTAATAATCTTCTACCTTGACACACAGTGATAGCATCAAAGTGCATGTACACAGAACTTGTATCTGTAAACGGTGTATGTTTTGGCGGCGTCTCTTTATAGCCTGACTGGCCAGCAAGCGACATTAAATGTTGTGGATGATTATTTTAACTTATGTAAGTATTTAATATTGTTAGCACTTCAGATCAAAAGCTGTCAAACTATCATGCTGACTTGTGGAAGTCAAATGCCTTTCAAAAAAGATTCGTATATATACTTTGAAACTAGATGTAAACATCCATGACAGTTCGATGTCGCCACCATGTCCACGGCGATGTTGCCTACTCATTGATTATAATATCATATTATAGAAAAAAATGTTTTACTTACTTTTGGAATGTAACATCCTCCGCCTTGGTTACGGTATGTGTAACAGTTAATGGCATAGCACTGTGTTCCCTTTGTTCTTTCGTTTCGTATCTTGGACGAAAGACTATCACTCTCAGCCATTTTACATTGTCTGCCAGTTTTAAATTCAACACAAAGCAATGGCGGCCGCATGCGTACATTCTCCTCAATGATAAAGAATAGTGACTGGCCAATAGTGTTATTTATATCTGTGAATCTGACCCTTTTACATCGCGCAAATTCCGATAAAGACAAGACTTCTAATTTCCACAAACGAATATAATATATTTTTATTAGATACATGCCACATATTAAAGCTTTACCAATAATTATTACATTGAAACATTGAGGCTAGTCTAACATCTAATCATCTTTATTTAGATAGCTAGTTCCGACTCGGTAAGTTAATGCTCTGACCTTAACCTAGGGTTAATTAACACAAATACCAGTAACACTAATAGTAATATATTTAAACTTGCACAAAATAACATTAACAGTGACAAACACCATTAGAACATTTATCCAATGGAGACGCAATGTAACATTATGGTGGCTGTATTACTAAAAATTAGTTCTTTTTCAGAAGGTGATAGAAACAAAATATATAGTGACTTTTAAGAAAATATTGGTATTGTCAAGAATAACTAAAGGGGACACCAGTTGGGTAGGCCGAGAGACCCCCTTTCGTGCTTCCAATCAGTGGAAAAATGCATTATATATACCATATGTAGTTTGTGCTCTTTCGATGCAAGTAATATAGGTTTGTTTGATGAATTTTGTGTAAAGCTAATAGTAATAGGTAATACAAGAAATTGGAGCAAATGCTCCCAAAATAAACAGATTTTTACATTTTAACCTTAAAAAAAAACAAGACCTTCTGGGAGTTATCTCTCCTGGACCTCCAATAAAAGCTACTCCTCCCACTCCATTGAAATCTGAGATTGTATTTCTGTAGAATGATAGAATATTTTCTATGAAGTTTCACCATTTTGAATCAAAAATGGCACATAAATTTAAAAAATGACTAAGAAACTCTTTGATATCTACTGATATCAGTATAAGCATTTTAATCAAGGTGTAATATGTAATTTTGATGATGCTACAGGTTTCAGGAGTTACTGGTGATTGAAATATTTATTTGTAATTTAAACAAATGTTTATCACAAGATACTTCATTTATATTTCCTACATTTCAAAAATCTATACAGAGTTGTAAGTATGTGAAACAACACCTGTAGCCTAAATAATTTTACTATTAAGTAAATGTCTTTAAGAGGTAACTTACTTAAGCTAGTTCTTAATTATTTGGTTTAATTCCTAATATGTTATCTCTTAGGTCTAAAGACCATTGTTGGTGCAGTGATAGAGTCAGTGAAGAATCTTAAGGATGTGATTATTCTGACAGTCTTCTCATTATCTGTTTTTGCCTTATTGGGATTACAAATATATATGGGTGTCCTGACTCAAAAATGTGTTGAAATTCCACCTGCCAACCTATCTCATGCTGAATATGCAATTTTTATAAATAATGAAAGTAAGTATTGTCTACCTTGTTTATTTGGTGATTTCTGAGCATGTTCAGAATAATAATCATGAAGCTTTGTGAATTTTGTATTATTCACTTTACATGTCATAACATGTAATCAGTTTTTAACTTGTCCAAGGGCGGATATAGGCCCGGGCACTGGGCATGTGTTCTCCCCCATTTTGAAAATCAATCAAAATAATTGCAAAAATTGGACCTTTGAGGAGGGAAGAATGTAGTGAAATTTCATATTAAATTAAAAACAAGCAATAACAACAACATCTAGCAAACATTATAACAAATCTAAACAACCCATTTAACTCTTACCTGGGAAGTCTCGAAAATTCCTCGTTTACGTTCAGAATCATCGTGCCTTCCCATTTTAAAAATACTAGATCCACCACTGTTGTCTTTGATCATAAGTTGGCGTTCTTTCCAATATTATTCTTATGTTATATAGTGCTGATCAATGTTATACAAATTATTCATATTTACAAATATATTAGTATAATGCTCTGATTAAACAATTCTTTTTCACAATTTAGTAATTAGATATTTTAAGTATATGTCCCTAAGGATTTTGCTGAAGAAATGTAGCCTATAAAAGTAGACAAAATCTGTATGCAGCAAATAACAGCTCTTTCCTGATAAACCACTTTCTCTGAAATATAGAGTGGATTCTGTCATCTTTCCTGCACTATTTTCTTCACTATGAATACTTTCCTATCCATTCTTCATATTTGTAGAATATATACATATGAATTACTTTTGAGAAATAAAATTATACCATCTCGCTTTTTTTCTTGGAAGTGTATCATATACAGTTTGTAATGATGCTTAATTTGGTAAATATTTGAAATTTGTAGATTAACATTTACTCCCAAGTTTAAGTCACACTAATACTCAAAAGTTTCTCTGTTAAAATATTTCTAAAAATAGCAAGTATTTTTAGCAGGCCCCTAACAAGAAGGCTAAAGCAAAAATAATGTATACTCGGAATCAGCATACATGATGGTAAAGTAGTTTTTATTTAACTGTCATATTTCTTCCACCTTTTTAAAGGGACTATAGGGAGGATAATTAAGAATCTTTTACCACTACCTAAGCAAGTATAGTATCTTGTGTCATAGAGTTAAAATCATCATTTTTTATAGATTGTGCCATCAATTTTTTTAACCTAATAATCCAATTGGATTGATGTCACAAGTGGGGTACTTCAAGGCTTAGTAGTGTTAGGACATTTTCTCTTTCTGATTTATATCAGTGACACAGATGAAGGAATGGTAAATAAGTTACTTAAGGCTGTGAGGATGCTGCTGTTGTTTTACAAAAGGATTTAAATCTTTTGGTGTGTTAAGAGAATAGATGGCATATGGCTTTTAATTATAATAAATGTTTGTGGGTTTTCATAATTTGAATTATAAGTATAATTTTAATGGGAATACCCTTAACAGTGTTATGAAAGAAAAAAAAGTTTCTTGTTCTGGTTGATCAGTCTCTTAAGCCATCAATCAATCAATGTGCTGTTTAGAGTGGTAGGGCAAATAGAATTTTAGGTTGTATCTACAGAAATATTGAATTCAAGTCTAAAGAAGTTATAATTTAACTGTATAAGCCACAATTAGAGTATTGTGATCAGTTTTAGACTCATTACCTTAAGAAAGACATTGAGTTGTCAGAAAGGGTTCAGAGGAGGGCTATTAGGATGACACCTTGTATGAAAAGACTGTCATTCAAGGACTGGTTATGACCCCTCTGAAATTGTTTTCTCTTGAAAAGAGAAGAGTAGAGAGATCTAGAGGTGTTTAAGATTGTTAAGGGAATTAAAAGTGTTGATGTATTATCTTTTTTCATAATTAATGGTGAGAATGGAAGGACTAGAGGAAACAATTATATATTATGGCTGGGAAAAATCGAATTCAGCTAAGACAATTTTATTTTTCTAATAGTGTAGTTGGCAATTTGAACTGGTTGCCTTCAGGTGTGATGGAAGGGATTTTAAGGGAAGGCTTGATAAATATTTAAATTATAAGGGCTGGCTTTGAGTTTTTTCTATAGTTTAGTTAATGGGACAGCCTAGATGGACCAAAAGGTCCCTTATTGTCTCTGAATGTTATGTTATACTAGAAGCTGTTGGATTCTCACAGATGTATGTAGTACATTAACTAACACAAAATGAAAATATTTTTATGTAACAGGTATAAAACCATTTATTTCATTTCCAAGGGATAATAAGGAGCCATTTGGATTAGTTAGGCTCTTCCATTTTCCACTACAACCTTACTCCAAACTAAATATAGAAACCCCTTTTTCTTAAATTCAACCCTAGTATCTAAAGTACTCTTCCAGTCTCTTCTTAAGCCTTTTTTTTAATTTTGTAGCTTCTACTACAGAAATTAGAGACAAATAAACAACAAGTACCAAATAAGGTTTTTTCCAGGGCTTTAAAGGTGGTCAAAGATCAGATAAGAGAATCTTACTCTTTGATATTTGCTATCTCAATACCAGGCAGGTGTTTAGGATTGAATAGTTGTTAAAGTTTTACCTATTTTTAAAGGGAGTAATAAGAATTGCCCTTAAAATCTCTAGATAGGCCTCACTTAGAATTCTATGTATAGTTTTGTTCTTCTTATCTATGAAAAGATATTGCCTTATTGGAAAGGGTTTATAAGAAGTTTAATAAGATGATTGTGGCCATGGAAGGGTTATCTTATAGTTATAGGTTAAGATCTCAACTTATTTTATCTTGAGAAATAAATGGTAAGAGATGATCTTGTTGAAATTTAAAGATATGAGACAGATTAATAGGATAAGGGTCTCTGATTTCTTTGTGTTTTATTTTTTATTGTGAAAGGGCACAAGTATTTGGAGAAGACAGGCTAGGATTCACTTAAGATAGTTTTATTTTTTCTAACAAACTGATTGGCTTATGAAATGAGTTGCCATCGGTAGTAGTAAAACTGGCACTTTACAAGAGTTTAAGAGAAGAATCGAGGATTTTCTAATAAGTAAAGAAAGGGTTTAAATTTTTACATTTCTAAAAAGTGAGTGTGAAAGGATAGCCTTGAAGGACTAAGTGGTTCCTTGTTGTCTGTATGCTAGCTTATCCTGTGTCCCAACAGAAGCAATAATTCTAAGAAGTCTTATGTGCAACTTATCAAAAGTCTTCTGAAATTCCAAGTAGACTAATTTCACCAAATTATTCATATTCACATTAAATGCAACATTTTCAAATAAAGCAAGGGATCATTCCTTTCTAATAAATCAATGCAGACTATCTGTGATAATATGAAATTTATTCAAATGTTCTTGTAGAATTTCTTTAGTTATAGACTGGGAATTTCAACATCACTGAAGTATGATTAACTTATTGGTAATTACTTAGACATTGTCTATTTCATTTCCCCCTTTAAAAATTAATGTGACATTTGCTAATCTCCAGTCATCCAGCACCTCACCTCTTGTAATCAATTTATTAAAAATTCAAGTTGATGATCCATAAGTTTGCTTTATTATTTACTTGGTTGATTGCATTATGAATTGTTAGACTGTTCATAAAAGTTGTGCTAGAAGTTTATTATGTAATTGTAGAGAAATTATGTGTCCTTTATTAATTTCAGTGTCAAGTTTCATTGTTGCAATCCTCAAATTGTAACTACTCAACAAGCAAAACTATCTTCTAAACTGAATGGACGTACCTTATATGTCAGTATCTATGTATGTAACCAAAACTCTTGCACTATCTATTGAATGGCACTACAAACAAACAAAAAATTTCACGCTATGGATATTCATGATTCAGACAATTAGAAAAATAACTGTGGTATGTGCAACAACCATTTCTTTATAATAAAACACAACTTTAAATAAAAGTACTATCCTCACAACAAGAACATGACTTTCACTAGGACTGTACATGAGGGTTTGATTATATCTTTATTAATTTAACTTTTAAATGTAGTACTGATAAACTTGAATTCTTAAAAATATTTTAAAGTAAATTGTACCACTTTTAATATATATAAAAATATTTTAGTTTAATACTACAATTTGTTAATAATGATTAGTCTTAATTATGAGTAACAGGCAAACATCAAAAAGCCTCTATGACCACTCTTCCTTTTGTCATTAATTGGGTATTCCTACCATTAACAGTGTTTTCAGTCTCTGTATTGTCCTATGTGAGGTACAACAACACTCAATCAATATTGGAAATATGAAGGTTACATGTCACACATGTTCAAAGTGTTGTCTTTCAGTATTAAACAAGTTTTTACAAGTATGGAAGCCTCATATCACATTGCAACCTATTTTTACACCAAAAAACATACAAAAAACAAAATGTCCCTGTGAGTCTATTTAACTATCATACATGTATGATAAATGTATTCCAGTTTTTCTTCATTTGGTGTCTGTAAGAGGAATTTAACTGTTTAATAACTGTTAGGTTAATAACATAACTTATTGATGATTCATATGAATGAACTGAACATAATTACAAAACGTCAATTGGTGAAGGATATTATTATTAATTCTTATACTATAATAAGTCCAGCACTTAGAATACTTTCAGTAATGTCCCTTTTATAACTAATCCATTTAAGAAAGTAAGGTAAAGCATGGTGACAGATGGTAATTTGCTCCATCAAGGTTACATCTCCATCCAGTAAAACTAAAGCAATTATCACAAATTAAATGCAGCCCATCTCAACCATATGTCTACAGAACTAAAGTTTTAATGAAACTAACAGCAGACATCATCATATTGTATTACATATTCCAGAAGAATAATTCTTTCAAAGAGCAAGTAATTATCTGGCTTTCAATACATGTGTTTATTACCCTTTATAGATTAAATTTGTAAGCTCATCATCTTATCTTTCAAATGATTCATTTAGGCAGTCTATCTAGACCACTGACAATTTCAAATGCATAATAAAAGGCATCTTTATTTTTCCTACAAATCCAAGATTTTAAGCCACTATTCACAGCTCAGATTTTTTAAAAAC